TTTTGTGGTCAGACGGTGGCAGGATAGTGGACATCTCGAACAAAGGTTTGGTGGGGTCCACGTGGGTGGTGGACGTGCAGGCGGACGTGGTGCTGGCGGTCTGCTCCAACATGACCACGCCGCCGCAGGTATTAATTAATATAAATCATCATCATCACCAGCTCACTATATTTCCCCACCGAAGGGCTCGGAGCCTCCCCCATGTTGGGGTGACTAAGCCATAATCAACCGGGTTGCGGGTCGGTTGACTTCATATGTCTTTGAATTTCTTCGCCGATATGTGCAGGCATCACGATGTTTTCCTTCACCGTAAGAACGTCGGGTAAATTATGTACATATGAATCCAAAAAAATGGAAAATCAAATCGGTACATATGCATAAACGATTTAGCTAAAAAATACTTGAACTCGATATAGTCCCATTTGCATGTGTACTTATTAACTAATAATAATATAAAAAAGAAATATTTGTATTTGTAATCTACATTAATAATAGATTCATTTAAGTTTTTTCTATTGATCACACTTATTTTCCTTATTACTCGATTAAAAACAATTATATCACGATATTAAATAGCCTATAACCACCCCTGATAACTAAACAACCGAATTTGAAAAGAAATTTTCAAATAGAATCAATAATTTCTGAGATTATAGCTTACAAATATATCTTACAAAGTTACAGATAAACCTTTAACAACTGTGAAATTTTTTGAATGTTTTCTTTAGTTTTTTAAATATGTCTTTCAGTTGTTTGTAGCGAAACTACCAGGTAAAGGTTCCGAGGCGCAGATAAAATGGATACAAGTGACAAAGGCGCGCGAAGTGCCGACGAGCGTCGCCGCTTCTACTGTCAATTATATGGAACTAACGCACGACACGGAGGAACCAGTCAGTTAGTATAGTTTTAGCATTTTCATATTTTTTCATTACTTTTCAAGCGAATTATTTACGCGAATTAGAGAAACCCTTAATAGCCTGATTTTTTTTAAATCAAATTACGTTCAATGACGCACACGTCCCATCCCTATGACAGCTGTCAATGTCATCGAGATAAGCGCGACTTTCGAAGTAATCGGTAGGCTTAGAGCGCTCGCAAACCTTTGACTAAACTGTCGCATAACAACTGTGCGACTGTGGAGTTTCGTGATTAGTTGGACAACTAAAAATCGAGTAGTGGCCACACTTCCATATAAGCTCATAAGAGTAAGCATAGCGAGAATAAGCAGTTGTGCGATAGTTTAGTCAAAGGTGTCCGTCCGATTTTAATATTAAGGTATAACGTTGTTACAATTGTTGTCCAAAAATAGTGTTCTTTCAGATTATATTCTACATTTGTACAAAACATCGAGATATGTTCCATTTTGGTAATTTTGCATTTATAATATTAGTATGAAGTATAATTCGTTCATTCCATTCATAGTTCATTCGTTCAACTCTAACTAAACATTAGTTCTCTAACTAAACTTGGCATAAAAGTTTAAATAACCAATTAAAAAATCGGAATCACGGATTTTGCTGTTTGTTCCGATGTTGTTTTAAGTGGTTTTTCCTGTATTTGTATACAGAATCATTCAGTGCGTTATATTTCGCACCGAATGCAGAGAAGAAGCTGCCGCTGATAGTGTGGCCGCACGGCGGACCGCACTCCGCCTTCGCTAACGCATTCTCATTGGAAGCCGCGCTATTTAATATGCTAGGTAAGTTTTATTGTATTTTTATATTTATTTCATAACTAATTTAGCATTATTAAGTCACTAGCGACCTCTCAAATTATACAAATAAACCTTTGTATTGTTAAGAACAAAATAAGTACCGTGCTGTAGAATTGGCGCAACTCTAGATTATCGGCATAAACGTCACGTCCCTAGCTGACAGCTGTCAATGTCACAAGAAGTATGGATAGATTGGCGCGTAACTTAAGTCATGACGAAAGTATTGCTCTGAGTTTAAAGCGACAGTATCAATTAAATAAGTTGTCTAAAAGTATAATGTATAATAAAAAAATACATAAAAAAGGAACTCACAAGTGTTAGAAGGATTACGCAACAAAAAAAAGAAAAGGAAAACAAACTGTGCAAAAAAGAGTACGGACCAAGAATCTGTAGAAGTTGATATAAAAAAACCTTTGTGTAATGTAGCGAAATACTTTATAGCTTTTAAAGTGGAACTACTCTAGGTTTTTTTTATTGTACATTTTAGTAAAAACATTTTTTTCTAACTTTTTAATATGAAAAACAGAAATTCATTAAAAGTTTGAGATTAAATTCATCCAATTTTTTTAGTCAAAACCTGGCGGCTTTGATATCATAGTTAATTTATCGGAAGGTTTTTATATTTCTATTTAGCATTGTATGAAATTGTAGCAATTTTGTATGTTTTTGAGGAATACAGTATCCATTTTGTGGGTATTTTTTGTCGAAGGTGAAATATAAAAACAATTTCAGGGTTCGCGAGTCTACAAATAAACTATCGCGGTTCAATCGGCGCGGGGGAGTCTTCTGTCAGGTTTTTATTAAAACGTGTGGGCGATGCTGACGTCAGAGATTGTAAACTGGCTACCGACGAGGTGTTAAAACGGTATCCAGTGGAACCGACACAGTTGTGTCTGTTCGGAGGCTCTCACGGAGGTTTCCTTGTCACCCACCTGAGTGGGCAGTTCCCCGACACTTACAGAGTGGTCGTCAGCCGCAATCCGGTTGTAGACGTCGCTACAATGTTCAATACCACGGATATCGCTGATTGGTGAGTTTAAAAATGTATCGATGGATGAAGGGCTATATGTTTTAATCGTCATTAGGTTAAATGTTCAGGAGAGTTTTCATTTTTAGAAAAAAAAAAATCATAAAAGCAAATCCTGAAAATTATTTCAATTGAAAGATTTTCAGACCGGTTCTAGATTAAAATTACTATAATTCTGCATACTTCATTATTTATTAATGCTGTTACTGTCGAAAAAAATTCGTATATTCTGAATATATATTTTAGTCAATATCGCCTAAAATGGCGGTCGAAACAAATACCCTTTCACCCGTCGGTAAAAAACGTTGTGTTGTAAAATATTCGGGATATTTCGTAAGATTTCAGGTTGTTTTAGCTTTTTTTTTTATTTTTCACAGATATAATTTTGTTAGTATTTTGCGTCGTTTCTTAATTTGTCAATAAACTATCAAACTTTAGTAAATTTATCGAGTATCGATGGTAGCCTAGTCACTGGGTGTCTACAATTATTTAGAAATTAAATATTTTCCTTAACGAGTTAATGAATTTCTCTTTTTCGAATAGGAACATATAAAAATGTCATTAAACAGTAGTTTAGTAATAAATAAAATTTATTCTTTAGCCTTTGCCTCCGTTCGTATAAACTTCCGCGGCTCAACGGGCCAAGGCGATAATGCCGTGCGATGCCTGATCTCAAATGTTGGCAACTACGACGTCAACGATTGCCTTCTCACTCTAACCACATTAAAAGAAAGAGACGCAAGATTGTCAGATGTGGTTGTCTATGGCGGGAGTTATGGCGGTTTTGTGGGAGCACATCTAGCCGGGAAATATCCCGAAATGTTTAAAGCTATGGTTTTAAGAAATCCATTGATTGATTTGGCGACTAAAGGCCATTATGCGGATAATTCTGACGGGTGAGTGGATTTAGGGACATGTTTTTGCCTAAGTAACCTTACTAAAAAAACTGTAAGTTTTTACTTCTTTCCTTAAATGTTACTTCTGTTAATTAAAACTTGGAGACACCCAGTTGACAAGCTATATGCGTTTTCTATACTGCTATACTAATAAAATAAAGCGTTAAACACACACTACTTTGTGGCGTAGGATGTCAGGAATAATAGCGTTTTTTTGAACAATTCTTTCTTTAATAAAATTCCTACACTTCGACACGCTTTAGACTATATATTTTACGTTATTAAACTTGGGGTAAATACATTGGAAAAGAACCTTTATGTGAGAAAGGGACCATAAACTACTAGCTGCCAACATTAAGGAAGCAAGGTTATTATGGTAACGGTAATTTTGACATTGGCAATAGAGAATTCGACAAATGTAAACAATAAAATAAAGTTTTTTATAATTCAATGCGGACGAACCCGCACGGGAATAGCTAGTTTATGAATATAGCGAGTGCAAATACTTTTTAATTGCAATCAATGTTTTTACATTTGTCATCCCACGTTTACATTAGTAACAAACTAGCGACCCTCCCCGGCTTCGTACTGGTTCGATGCTAATACAGAAATGTGTTTACATCAAATTGTAAACCTTTAAAATTATCATTCTTTCTCTATTTACTATATACTAGCTTTACCCGCGAGTCCTACCGCGTGGAATTAGAAAAAAAAGAAAAGTAGAGACAGACAGATAGCGGGAAGAGACATTTTACAATAGCGATATTCACTAGGTGTGCGGTGGAAGCGGGCTTCTTATTCACGGAGAAGGGCCCTATATCGGAAGAAGAGTTGTTAGCAATGCGACGTTGCTCGCCATTGGCGCACGTGCACTCTGTGAGGGCCCCGACCGCACTCATGCTAGGGTCCGGAGATAAAAGGGTCCCGCACTACCAGGGCCTCGAGTACAGCAGGCGGTTGAAGGCCAATGGTGTCCCTACTAAGTATGTAACGTTTAGTTTTTAGATGTGCGTTTGTTCACTGAATTTACATAGACTATTAACACTATTTGATATAGACTGGAAAATAAATAAAAATGCTTGTTTTAGTTTTTTCTTAAATTTATTTTTTTATTATATTTATGTATAAAGTAGAGCACAGAAAGAAGGGAAAGGACATAGTAAGATTTGTTGATTGTTCTGTTAGTCAACACTTAGGACTACTTAGAGGACTCTGAGTATGCATTACAATTAAACAAACTGTTTTCAATCGTAATCTCAATTAATATTTTTAATTATTATGCCATAACACATAAAAAACTTACAGACGAATTGAGTACCTCCATTTGGAAAGTCGGTCAAAAAGTCTGATGTTTTCAAGTCGCTGGTTTCTTTTTTTGCCTTTTAATTTTAACTTGTTTCTTTTTGTTTTTATTAGAGTATATATGTACGACGACAACCATTCGTTGTCGTCTTTGCCCGCGGAGATGGACAACCTCATCAACAGCGCTGATTGGTTCCTAACGCATTTGAAGTCTGATTGAATATATTTAAAATTTTATATACTAATAAATATATCATTTGTAAATGACGTTTTATTTTTCCGTACAATATAATTTCTTGATATCAAGAGTTCGAACTCACTTTCAGATCTTATGGTACTATCTATATTTTAAGAAGTCTTTGGTAAACAAACCGATACCACAGACGGAACGAAGAACACTATAACTAACGCCTGTTACCTAAAGGGTAGACAGAGCCCATAGACCTTTTGTATCGATATTGATACTTCTCTTGCTTCGATTTTCATATCTAAGTATTTCTGCGGTATATTTTATTCGATAATCTGGACAGCAATGGTCCGTATGGGAGACTCCAACCAGCAGTCACTAAAAAAACTAATTTAAATGTACGAATTATTTTAATCTGCAATTTTACCAGCGATTTAGCAGAATCTTTAAATAAAATAACGAAATCAGTTTTGAAAACATAAAACAATCCACAAAAATGACTAATAAACCCTCAGTGTAATCGTAAACAATTTTACACAGTAAATACTAAAGTTAAACTACCCCTAGGGAATAAAACAAAGTGGTAATAAAGTACTAGAATTACACGCTTCGTTGCACTAGGGCTGGGGGTGGTAGGCTGGTAGGGACTAGTGACGTGCTGGCAGGTGTCGAGACATGTGCATGAGAGCTATCGATGCGTGGCACACCCCTACTCGGTTATATTGTTTCTAATTATACGTAATGTGGTTTACTAATTCGTTTTTTTTTTAATATTCACAATGTTATTGTTTGGTTTCGAATTAATTTCGTAAAATACTAGTAAGTTTTAAAGCAGATTTTTTTGGTTAGGATTGATCTTTTGATTGATTCTTTGTTAAATATTCTGTATTACTTCTAGTCCTAAATAATCAAGAAAATTTCGGTCAATGTTCGGCTAATATGTTGAAAGGAGAGGTTATGAACTATAGTACATTACACTTTTATTAAATAAAGACATTGATTAAGGTTAAAAATTTTCCACGTGACTAGATTTTTGCGTTTTTAATTTTTATAATTGTCAATTTTGTTTTGTATGTTAAATAATATGAAACACGCTGTACATTTTATATAGAGCTGTTCGTAAAGAGATTGTTTAAAAACGAAATGTTATACCTATATGTGATTGATTTTTGGTGAATGAGTGTGAGGTTTTTGACCCCTTTCACAATCCAAGATGGCGGAACAAATAGTGAAAAACACAGTGTTGTATATGAATTTCCACTGTCGACACACGAATAGAAAGACTTGGCTCCTTTTTATTTGCATTTTACATTGCCTTTAAAAATAAGGATGACAATATCTTAAGACGCACATGCCAGTAGACTATTGTTGTAGCTGGCATGTAGCACTTGCCACCAACAAAGACAATGCACATATCAGTCTGGAAAACTTTTATAAGTCACGTGATTGAATGTTTCACACCCCCTTAACTCCCCTCTAACTTACTGGCACGTAGTTCTCACATAATTAAGTACGTGCTGGCTACTTGCATGCCAGTACCTGTCTTTACAATTCCTCGTGCACATACCAGAAGGCAAACACACGCAAGGCAAAACAATGCAGTGTTCCAGTTACTGGCATATGTACTGGCCTTATTGTACAGGTTTAATGCCGTGGAAACTGATGGTAAGTGATTAAAAAGTGATTAGCACATATTGAAAGGGTGCTTGTCAAATTACGTAAAAAGATTAATATTATTGGAACCCGGGCCCCGATGCCTGTCACTGGTGACTGGCACCGCCGTTCCGCTGCGGGAACCCTACACCTTATAAATAAATAAACTCCCTCGCGAAGGGGAATTGGCGGG